CAGATACATGCAATGAGATGTAACTTTCATCCACCACCATGCCTTACCTTTTCTCCCGTAAGAGTGTGAAGACCTTCTCTAACTTTTGCGAAAGACCCTTCTCCCAGCTTCCTCCCGATCAGGTAGGTCCCGACGCGCTTGGTGTGGTAAAAGTTCTTGAGGACGTCCGGGGCAGGACTGCCGAGGGAGCCCGAAAAGGTGCTCTCATCGTCGGCGCTGTCTGAGGTCTCGCCGTCGTGCGTCCTGTTGTCCGTTCCCATGTCGTGGTCCAAAACGGGCATCTCTATTGCCTTGTCTGAGGAGGGAGAAAAACACTTCGCACTCGACTCTCACCCACCTTAAAAGCAGGTATCCTATTAAACGCTTAACGTCCGGCAAATTAAGAGTGCTGGATCTTGCGCCACCTGTTCACCCAAACGCATCCAGCCAGTGCGCTCAGCAGTTTCCGAGACAACTGAATCCGCTTAGATTATTATGACATAAGGAGCATTTAAAAAAAAAGCCTATATCTGTCATGGAAAACTGACGCAACGTGTCTTATTAGCTACGCGAGAGTGTTTTCAGGTCGAGGATCAGAGCCAGGCTTCTAGGCTGTGTGCGCATCTCCTCTCACACGCGCGTCTCCTGTATGGTCTGAGTGCCATGCAGCGTGTTTTTCAGTTTGAAGTGACTTTCCCGGTCCTGTAGATGGGCGTTCCCCTGGCCAGTGTGAGGGTGAAAAACAGAAACACCGTGATGGAAGCGGGGGTACTTTTCTATCCAATCAGCGCAGGGTGGGTGGAGTGTGTGTACGGACAACGGGGAACAACAAGTCTACCGGTACCACCGCCCCGCCGCTCCGCTGTGTGGGCTCACATTGTACATGTGCAGGAACAAAGAATGTATTTGTAACCCTGATAAGTGACTTGTTACAGAATCAACATTTGAGCTCATAGGGTTTGTAAAAAAATATATATACTAACATGTATTTGAGTTGGCATTTTAGTTATTGTAAGCATCTCTCTGTGCGTTAAGAATCCGCCCTTTTCATAATAATAAAAATAAATAAATAGTTTTTTTTTTTCAAGGTAGTTATAATCAATATTAAGCTTGAATTAAATTTAGCCTATCTATTTTGGATGTTTACTTGAGTTCAGCAGACAAACAGAGAATAATTTCACCTTGTTTACTTATGAGGTTCATCGGCCTAATTAACATTTTTAATCACCCAAAGGAGAACAGGGAGGGGCCACTAATCATAAGCTTCGGCCAAAAATAAATATTTTATTTTTTATAGTAAATCTAATCAGTCTCAAATACTTGAACGGTTGCTTTAATGACATTTTTATTGAATAAATAAATCTATTTATTTTATTTTCAAATGTTGTATATTATTACATTTTTTTTGTGTGTGTAGCTATGTTTTAATTTCGATCTTTAAACAGAATGGCTTTAGCAATTCTAAACCACATGCTGCTTTTTCCAAGACTGCTGGACCATGCTTTCTTGATAATTCACTCTAGACATAATAAAGATATGAAGCGTACAAAGTACGACATCTTTTGGAGACTTTTTGCACTACAATAAAATGCAGCGCAGACGTCTTGTTGAAATTCAATCTACATCCGTTTTGTAATTGTCTTGACACAAGAGCCTCAAGCATCTCATCGATTAGACCTGCATTAACCCTTCAAACAGAGCATTTGATCTTCCCACGGGGTAAAATGTGTTACAATTTCCTGCACGTCTGTTGTGTCTCATGTAGCTTTTTAAACACCTTACTCTAAGATGACTATTAAACAGGCAGACCTACTTTCAAAAGTAGATGAAGGCAAATTTTATAGAAGGAACAGTAAAAAAAAATAGATGCTTCCTGAGTTGAGAGTTAGATACTGATATTTACTGAATAAATCAAAGTTCTTGCTGTAAAAGCCATTATTACCCTGTTAAGTTGGATTTCAGGCTGCATGGGTAAAATATCCTTGTGGATTTTAAAAATAATTCTGTTTTTGAGTCACAGCTGTGAGGAGCATCCACAAAGACAGACCTTGTGTTGCAGGAACAGAGATTGCAAAATCGTTTGCATTCATGTCTGTGGGGAACTGTGGCAGCCATTTCTCCTGTAACAGTTTGGTTTCACAGCAAATACTGTGCCTTGTAAAATTCATTTTACATCTTGCATGTTGTAACTGCATACCTTGATGAATTGAATTGAATTTTTTTGTGATGAATCACGACAAATAGATGCAAAATTGTGAAGTGAAACAAATAGTAAACAAGATTTTCAAGTAAATTTTAGAAATAAAGGCGGCAAGAAAATTCATTCAATGCCTTTACTCTGATAGCTCTAAAATACAATCTAGTGTAATCTAATTCCAGAATGGCAGTGACTTTTTTTCACCCACCCTCAAATAGAGATTGGATCTCCTAAACATTCTACTAAAAGTTGTCAAGCAGATTTTCCCACTTGAGTTGTGAATCTTTCCCATATTAATAAAGAGTGTTTCTCTGACTACTACTGGCTGTTTCTCAGATTATTACTCTTCTTGCTTAGCCTGCCAAGTTTAGATGATCAACCATGTGATTATAGCTAAACAGTTTATACTAATGCACTATGAGTATAATTATTTCATGCTAAAAATGAGGCAGTGTACTTGAAGTTTACTTTTTCTGAACTAAACATTACAAACGTCAGAGCAGTATAGTGAAGTATTCTTGGCTTTTCTTGAAAATTATATAGATAAGGCTTAGACTAAGTACATTAATACTAAGGTTTACACCTATACTTTAATACTAAAACCTTTACTGTCATTCTTGGTATATTCCTATCAAGCTATTTATTTTTTTGGTTCTTAAAATATGCAGTTTTCTTGTACCTATTTTCACAAAGAAGGACTTCAGTTCTCAGCAGGAGACACTATATTGTTTTAATTTTTTAGGCAAATGCATACTTTTACCCCTAGCATTTTTGACAAATAAAAACTTGCCAAGTGAACTTACAATTAAACTATTAAAATTATTCATATTCTTTTCTTTTTTCAGGTAGCACAGTAAGTGGAAGCACCCTGCCACCTAGTGGACAAACCCTAGAACAACAGCACCAAATCCCATCATGCTTTGCTGTGCCCGCCGACCCAACGCGAGGCTAACTGGCGTTAGCTACCGGGGAGCGGACATGTTGTTCCGTCCTTTCCTGGAATAAACATCGTTTTGACCAGGGTTTCGGGAGTTAAGGGAGAAGCCAGGTGCATCTGGCAATCATGGAGGCCGTGAACGCCTTTAACCAGGAGGTAAGCTGCACGTTGGGCTCGCTCAGAATCTGAAGTCACCGTGGCTGGTGGATGTGGTCACAGCAGTGCTGTGATGCTGTGTAGCTAACCGAGTAGGTCGGACGAGGGGGCCTACTAGCCGTTGGACTTTCTTGGTGTTATTGTAATTGGGTTAATGTTAGTGTTGCCCTTCGTCAACTGGGGTGGTCTTACATTGAACAGCAGGATGTCTTACTCTAGTGCAATAAGAAGCCACTCGGTTATGTCAGAAAACAGAGTAAACATTGGTACCAGGATCCTCCGTGATGCTAATGGGAGTGAATTGGTCCCAAACACTGCTGCTGGTAACAGTACGATTAGCAAACATACTCTCCAGTTAACACGGTCATGCAAACGGACTGCAGGCCTACAGGGGTTTATTGTTGATAATTTGGAATAATAAACATGCGAGGTGTTTCTTAAAGAGCAGACACGGTGAGTTTCTATGAGGCCTGTTCATGCTGTTGGAAGCCCAGTCAGAACCTGCAGGGTTTGTCACTCAGTAAGCCTTACATTAACAAGGTTATCAAAGCTGGAGCCCATATACTTAATTTGTTATTGAGGCTCAAATTGACATCCTGCAAAAATATTTAGCTTCGAAGTTGTTGCCATTCCTGCGATCTTTACAATCTTTGCAGTATTTGTTGTCTCACCTGAAGCAAAATTACAGCTGCAAGAATACTAGGGCATGGTTAAAAGGGCAAATCATAGACTTTATTTTCTGTCATGTGATGCTGAAAGTGTGGGTTTGTGTGTCAGATTTTATGCATCTCCTTCTACCTGGCTATTTTGCTTCCTGATGATGTATGAGATGATCTCTTCTTTTAGAGGCGTTCCTTATGAAAAAGAAATCTATAATGATTTTCTTTTACTCTAAAATCAGGATTTTATTAGTTATGCTTTGCTACAGTTACTTTGAGATTCACACGATATCACAGAAACGTGTAGAAGTATCACTGTTTTGTGATGCCACAGTAATTAAACAAAAATGTATTACACTATTTAATTCTGATTATTTAAGCCAGGAAAATCAACAATAAAATAATGACATAATCACAGTTGGAGTAATTTTCTATACAGATTAACATTTATTTACTTTTCTATTTTTGATAGACACTTTGATTGGTTGGCTCTCCTTAAATTTCAATACCATGACTGTTTTTTTGTTTTTTATTTTTAATCTCTGACTATATTTCCAAAAAGAACACAAGGAAAAAGTATCGGTGCCTTCTTTCAGCCAGCTGACTGGCAGTGCTCAGCAACAAGTGGGTTGCTTTGGGCTCTCTGTATAGCTGAGTTAAACTCTAATCAGTAACCAAAACTTTTTAAAAACAGAATGAAGCGTATACGCACAAACCTGGTTAGCCAGTCCAGTTTACAGTGGCCAGCTTTAGAGTTGCTCTCCTGCTTTGGGTTTTTATCTCTTTAAAGGTGAATCAAGTTAGTAGAAAAAGATAAAGATGGTGAGACAAGACAATATATACTGGGCATTTATTTTGCAGACTGTGAATAGGGACAATTTAAAGGTATGTTGAGATTTTAAAATGTTACTGTTTCTAACATTCAGTGGTGACATTCTAGAGGTTCAAAGTCCTGTTAATGAGTTGCTGGAGAAAAGGTTTGTGTCACCTAAGTTTTCTCAGGCTGCATGGAGTGCAGAATAATGCAGCACTGCCCCTCCCCCACCTATTGCACATGGCAAGGCCTAAGCGAAACTACTGCCTCTTTCCCTCACTTACAAAACAGAGAAATGTAAGTGTTTGAAAACTCTCTGGCTGTGAGAAACATGGACGGATTTGGTGTGAAATCTAAAGTAGCACCACTGATGGCTCCCATTAAGCTGTTTCTGTTTTCTTTTATTATTATTGTTATTATTTTTGAGGATATCTGGCTGGGGGAATCCCTGATATTTTATCTCATTAATATTATATAGTGAGAAACTCATTCAGGCTCTTGGCTAACTGTGTTATTACAGTATCAGTACAAATCTTACCCACTAAACTGAACAGATAGTTTCAGACCCAGGTAGCTCAGGATTGTTTTTTTTTCTTCTTTCATTTGAGAGCCATGGTTAACAGTACATTAAATTCAGAATATTTTTCTATTTCATTTTAAAACATTTCAGGCAGCACATAATAAAAATAAAATAAAATAAAATAAAATATTTGTCTCCGTTTTCTGACAAAACCTGATAAAACCACCACACGAAATATAAAAAAATGTGCATAGTAATCAATAATGGCAACAGATAAGAGATTTTTGAGGAAACACATTTCTAATTTAGAAAGTTTAATTGCAGTTAGGTCCAACACATTTGTCTGTAAAGTAATACATCCTTATTAGTGTTTTATGTGGAAAAACAGATGTACTTCAATTAAATAAGTATTTGACCTGAAACTCATTTATTTTTGCTCCATTTGGTGTTGTCCATTCTACTGTTTCATGATTTTCCATCTCATCCTTTCATTATCTTTTGCACTATGCAGTTATTCTCCTTGATGGACTCCAAGCCTCCTATATCTCGAGCAAAGATGATCTCCATCACCAAATCAGCCATAAAAGCTATGAAAGTAAGTAACAGTTTTTCATGTGCTGTATATTTTTGTGTTCATGTTTTCTGCTTTTAAAAATTGGTTTGCATTTCTTTTAGCCTCCATTAAGCTGAAAACACTCATTTGACCCCCCCCCCCCCACTCTTTTTTTTTTTTTTTTTTTTTTTTTTTTTTCCAGCTCTACAAACACGTGGTCCAGATTGTGGAAAAGTTTATCAAAAAGGTGAGTCTGGTTTTGTTTCAAATTTATTTGAAAAGCATTTTTTTTTCTCAACAATCATAAGTAATTTAAAGGTATTTGTCTCCTTGGTCTTGATTCCTCCAGTGTAAGCCCGAGTATAAAGTTGCTGGCTTGTATGTGGTTGATTCCATTGTGAGGCAGTCCAGGCACCAGTTCGGACCAGACAAAGACGTGTTTGGTCCGAGGTTCACCAAAAATATCACAGGAACCTTCGAGAACCTTTGTCTCTGTCCCATAGAGGACCGGGTAAGAATGGAAAAAAAAAAATCTTCTGAAAGGCTGGAAAATTTCTGGAATGATGCTTCATCTCTTTTCTTTTCTTTGTTTGTAGAGTAAGATTGTGCGGGTTTTGAACCTGTGGCAGAAGAACGGAGTGTTTAAGATTGAGGTTATTCAGCCGCTCTTGGATATGGCTGCAGGTTCTGGCAGTGGTGCTGCTTCCATCACACACACAGAAGAGCCAGGTGAGTTGTAATTAAAGTCCTTTTTAAATCCCACATTATAGAAACGGCTGTATTTTTTTCTGAATGAGCATTCGCACCTTCAAAAACATGTTTGTGCCACCTATAAACACTCCCGACTGTCTCATCGTTTAGGTTCACCACCATCTCCAGCCAAAGAGCCTGTTACCGTAGTAACAGCCAACTCCACCTCAACAACCGCTCCTCCACTACACAACTCTGACGCCTTTGCTGCCGTAGCACAGCTCTTCCAGTCTTCGCAGGGCCAGCAGGTGTGTTTACACCCATGGAAACCTGACATAGCTTCATTCATTTGCTTTCTGTTGTCGTCTTGGAAACTTCTGAATCTACTTTGTATTTCTTAGCTCCAGCAGATGCTCCAGAACTTTCAGCAGCAGGCGGTTAAGCCTGAAACCAACACTCAGCCTCTTCTGCCGACCGCTCAAATGCCGGTTCAAAGCGCGCCTACTGGCCTGGTTGCTGCTCAGCCTCACCTCTCCTCGCCTCAGCCTCCTCCACCCGTCCACTCCACCCAGCCGGTCCAGCAAAAGACCGCTTTTGACAAGGTGACAGATATTTGCATTCCTCACTTTAAGTTTTCTAACCCGTACTGCCTTGCAAAGTATTTATACGCCTTGAACTTTTTCAGTTTTCCGCTAATTTAAATGTAATTTGCTGGGGTTTTATGTTATTGTTAGTCACAAAGTCATGGAGGATGCCTGGCTTTTAAATTTGTCACAAATGAACAAACCAACAACACTCTGAATGCACAGTTTTCTGATTTAAAAAAAAATCTTTTATCAGCCATGTTTACAAAAAAGACTTCAGAGTCCAGTGTTTGGAAATGTATTTATTTAATTTTTTGCAAAACCAAACAAAAAAGAATGTAATTTAGAATTTACAGCTTGATTTTCTGTCTTCGCATCAGAAGTTGCTGGATCGTTTTGACTACGATGATGAACCAGAAGCTGGAGAGGAAACTAAAAAGGATGAACCCTCCTCCCAGCCCCCTTTGTGAGTCCCCGTCCTCATTCTGAGTAGCATAGCCTTTACAAATAACATCAAAGGGGGAGTAATAATGATGCATTTTTCTTATCACAGTATGCAACAACCTCCAGCCTTTCCTCAGCACCTGGAGCACTTTAATACACAGATGATGAATCTCTCACAGGACATCACACAGCAGGTAGTGACACTGGACTTTCATTGTTCATTTTTATTTTATTTTTACACCAGATGTTTTAAGGTGTGAACATCAGTTAATGGAGATGGAAAAGAATTGCATTTTTTATCAAACAAGTGGATTAAATGTTTTGATGTACTGAAAGAAATTACTGTACAGTAGGTCTGACTGATTTTAAATTTTGTTTAAGGTAAACACTCAAAAATATCTTGAGAATTTATTTAAATAGTCTGGATCTGCCACTCTGGAATATTTCATATATTTGTTTAATATGAGGTGGTGTTACTACTCATCGATTTAACACAAACCTTTGAGAAGAAAAAAAAAACTGAATAAAATCTGAGCAAATCTAATTCTGATGTAAGATGCAAGGATTGGTATTGGATATTAATTTCAGATCTCTTCTTTAGGTTTCGGTGCCTCCTAACGGCCAGCTGCAGGCTGGTGTTGTTCTGCCAGGACAAGGCTACCCTGTTACTATGCCAACGATGGGGCACACTCTTCCAGGGCACCACATTCCTGGTTCAACTGGGCTTCCAGGCTTCCCAGGGATATACCCTCCTCAAAACGCTGCCCAGCAACAACAGGTAGGTTTCCAGCCATCAGAGGTCATTAATTCTAGCAGGAGCAGAGGAAGAGTCATCCAGGTGCAGTGAAACACTTTTTCCTTTGATTTAAATAAGAGACAAAAATCATTACAGAGATTAGAAACAGTCTTCAGAATCTTATTTTAGTGATTAACATAAGATGCTAATCACCATCTCTGTGTGTACGCTCTGTGTAGGTGCTTAACTACATTCAAAGGTTTACAAATGGCTGCCACGATTTCCCATTTTTAAGTGTGAGCTTTAAAAGCCAGAAAATCAAACTTACAGCCTTCTTGGTACTTTCTGAAAGTCTTTTATCTCTCTTATAGCCTGAAGCGATGTTCTTCAAAATCATTGTTTCCTTTTGAATAGATTTGAACAACTTTTAGGTTTAGTTTAGTTTTAGATTTATGTTTTTTTTTTTTCATCCTGAAAAACATAAATCTAATTCCTTGACTTTTAAGGTGAATTAATAAACGTTAAATATTGATCAAGAATATAACTGGTTTGGTTATATTTGCAGTATGTCATCTTCTCATTCATCAATTTATTTATTTTATTTTTCATCTTTTCACCAGGACTCCTCAGTGGATATGGACCATTCTTCAATGAGAGATGGCCGGCATGGTCGACGGTCACACTCAGGCTCAAGGTAAAGTCTAAAATGGATGCTAAGTATTTTTATGAGAATCTGCCAAAAAGAAGTTTCCTGGAAACAAAGCTTCCTTTGTCTACACAGATCTCCAAAGAGGAGAAGGTCTCGGTCCAGTTCCCGCTCCCGACGGTCCAGGCACAGACGATCTCGCTCCCGCTCCAGAGATCGTCGCCACCACTCGCCTCGCTCTCGCTCACAGGAGCGCCGGGAGAGAGAGAGAGAAAGAGAACGGCGGCAGAAAGGCCTGCCGCCGCCCAAGAGCGAAACTCTAAGTAGTGAGTCATCACCTAGGTTACGGAGGAGATTATTTATCACAGGAATGATTGAAATCTGTACTTATTTGTCCTTTTTCCCCTCCTGCGATGAAAATAATTTGTTTAAATCTTTTAACTTTAGAAATATTGCCAAATTTCTTCCTTGTTGATGTATTTTTCCTCTTTAGTTTGTAGTACTACACTCTGGGTGGGTCAACTGGACAAGAGAACTCAACAGCAAGACGTCGCCTCGTTGCTTGAAGAGTTTGGACAGATTGAATCTATAAATGTAAGTCGATTTGTTTGGATCAGATATATTTAATCTTAAAACAGTAATTTGTGCATTTTAGAATTTCATTGTTTTTAACTTAGTTACTTAATGGACACTCTTAGGTCCTGCTTTGTATTTATTTTAAGTTTATAGATAGATTTATTATTCAACCAACAGCTGTAATCAGAAGGTTCTAAACTTAATCTTGATTATTTGCCCAGAAAGAGCAAATAATCGGCTCATATCACATTATTTTACATAGAAAGGCTTGCAAGGATCTACATCGAGGTTTCTGTTAGGCCCACAGGGATAAAAACTACTTACTGTCAGAGAAGAAGCTTTATAATTTCAGGTTCGTTTTGATTGTTCAGTGCATACAAACCAATGACAGCCAGCAGAATAAAGCTGCATTTCTTTTAACAACATTTTCTAACAACAACTCTGCTTCCATAAGCCTCTTGGCAGTCAGATTTGTAATTAAAAAAAAAAAATCATTTAAAAGTTTTTTTTGTAACTTTATTTAAACAGGAATGATCCCTGAAATTCACAATCTCACTTGGATAGAGTGCAGCTGAGAAATCATTAAAATACAACTTTTCTTTTTAAAAAAAATTATATATGACAAAATTGCCTGCAAGGTCATAATCCCCTGGGCCAGAAATTTTACTTATTTAGTATCTTCTAGTGCATTTAATTGTTGTTTGCTTTTTTTCTTTGTTTTTAAACTGTAAAACACTTCATGTCCAATACATCTTGTAACTGTCGTCAGTGCAATTTCAATGTGTGCAATATCACAGTAGTATTCAAATCCCATTTGTCAATATTGGCCAATTAGATTTTTTGTGCCCTCACCTGAGGGCAAAACGGTACAAAATTGAATTAATCCTGAAGAAGCTTCCCCATAAACCACATCTCTGTTAGATGTTGATTATGACGTGCCTGTGACTGTAGCGCTTAGAGATGATGTTTGTATTGTTAGGTACTTTACCTTTATGGCGTTATCTTTAAGAAGTATTATTCCTTCGTCATTGTTAGACAGACCTTGCTCAGTTAATTGGTTTGTCAGACAGGAAAAACTGTTTCTCATATGGTTATTAACCATTTTTTTGTTTTTCTCTGTCTTTTTTCAGATGATTCCTCCAAGAGGCTGTGCTTACATTGTCATGATACACAGGCAAGATGCTTACAGAGCACTGCAGAAACTCAGTAGAGGATCGTCAAAAGTTAACCAGAAAGCAATTAAGGTGGGTCTTATTTATTTTGTCTCTGCATATGCTACTGAGAAAAAATTCTGGAAACAAATCCAAATTTAAATCGAATTATTTCCTACCAGATTGCTTGGGCTTTGAACAAGGGTATAAAGCCTGATTTTAAACAGTACTGGGATGTGGAGCTGGGTGTCACCTACGTACCCTGGTCTAAAATCAGAGAGGACCAGTTAGAGGAGCTGAAGGAGGGAGGAATGCTAGATATGGATACCTTATCACCAGGTAAAAAAACAACTAATGTAGGAGAAATGTTTATGTTCAAAATGACTGAACCAGAATAACACATCTTCTCCTCAGTATATATTTTGAGACTAATTTTGTTTTAGCTAATGTGACTAGACAGTCAAAAAAACTAAATTCACAGACATATCTTCATACCTAATTAAACAGTCCAAATTTATAGTTTACCATTTGCTAAATTTAGTTAGCTTTATTACTTAATAATTACTATCATGACTGACTTTGCAGACTGGAGCAGCATGAGAAAGACCTTCGACCACCTTGAGGAACCCACACACAATGGCCGTTCTGAGCAACAGCAGCCTGAGGAGGCACAAGTCTTACCGATGGCTGTTGCAGCTTCTCATCCTGTACAAGTAAGGAACACATAGAATATTTAGGGTTTCAAGCCTGCAGGAGCAAGCAGACGGCCAATACAAGGCATGGCCGTTTGCCTGCTCACAGCAGAGCAGGAAACCCTATTGTTTTTACTCTGTTTTTCCATTCTTCTTATGTTTTTCCACTGGAAGTTATACTGGACCCTAAACCCTGAAAATTACAACTTTTATTTGGTATCCGGGTTCAGTATCCACAACGGTACTCGGATACAAGTATTTAGCCAAATTCGCCTGTAGGTGGCACTATGGTAGAAAATACATGTTTCAGCTTATAACTCTGAAACCAAAGTCACTTAAACAAAAATTGATGTGGGCAAAGTTTCTTAGAAAGATTCTTCAACAGATGTTCCACTGTGCTGTGCAAAAATTGTGGATCTGGAATGTTTTTCACCAGGGAAGCAAGAAAATTGCATTAGCCAAATCCAATCTCACCCCCACCATCAACTCTGAGCCAAATGAAACATGTCACATTATATGCTAAGGAAAAAACAAAAAGAAAGTTATTGTGGCAATTTTTTTTTTATGCCCAATTACAATGTAATAGCTGATTAAACATCACTACACACATCCACGTTGCTACAAAATTTAATTGTTCATAATTTTGAAATCATAAAAAAAAATCCACAATTTCCTTTCTTCAACTACAAACACAATATTGACAATGGCTAGCTAGTTTTCTTTCCAACGTCCACCTCTGGGTGGCGCTGGAAAATTGCAAAATTTGTTATGCAAAAACTGCTTATTTTCACCAAGCTTTACACATGCCTCCACCGCATAGGTCTTAAATATATGATCAACCATGATCATATGTCCAATATGATATTAGACATTTTATGTCTAATATGATCATGGTTGGTTGAAGTGTGTGGGGCTCATATAAAAAAAAAATCTGAGAAATGCTCCATTTGGACAATGTTTTATTTGAGTTCTCCCACAACGCATCACGCAACAACGTTTTTTATTTGACAACATCCACGACGTTTCAGGTGAACCCTGTTGTTTTTACTTTGCTTTTTCATTCTTCTTCTTATTATGTTTCTCTGCTGAAACTCGTACTGCAACTTACCCTCCAAAACTTTTTACAACTTTTATTTGGTATCCGTCTTCAGTATCCACACCACTACTCAGATACAAATATTCAGCCACATTCACCTGTAGGTGGTGCTGTGGTAGGAAATATGTGTTTCAGATTATAACTCCAAAACTAGAAGGGACATTGTTTTCAGGACTGTCCTGCATTTGAAACATTTCGGGACAGAAAACTGTCCTGAGAAATTGTCGCCTTGGTCGACACGTGCAGATCGCTAACAACGCTGAGGAAGATGGGAAGCGCGTTAGGGGTTGGAACCTGTTGGGTTATATTATAACTCCTTACAGTTGTAGTTGAAATTATTAGGTTTTTTTTTATATTTGAAATGTTTTTTTTTTTTTTTTTATATAAATTATGGAGCAATTGAAGTAAGAGACCCATATATCAGTCTGTTAGTATAGTCCTTCACAAAATGGGTTTTACTTAGCTTATTTTGCTTAGTGTTACCTAACGTTTACATGGCACTGACCGAATTATCTGCTTATTCAATTTTCTCAGGTCCCTTCATTGCAACAGCCAATGGTTGCTATGGGTTCCCTTCAACCTCCGGTTTTTCCTGGTCCCATTGGGATGCCTCCACCTGGCTTTGCTCCAGGCATTCCCCTTCCTCCTTTCATCAGACCTGGCTTCAACCCGTTGCAAATGCCCCCAGGTAGCTGCCAATAATCTTTTACTATTTGCAGTTGTTTTAAAAACTAGGATGTCTTTCACTCTGGTCAAAGTGAATCTTAATGGGTTTCGCTGCTATATCCCCAGGTTTTCCTGCCTCGGGACCTATGCCCCTCGGTCCAATACCTCCTTCCAAAGGTGGCGTTGATGACCCGCCTCAAGACCCAGCAGGTCAGGGCGCCAAGAAAAATGATGAGGTCCTGGAGGGTCCAAACTTATTTAACCACCAAATGGGGCACATGGGTTAGTAATTTTGTTTCCCTTCGGTTAACTAAAGAAACAAAATAATGGAGTTTGAGCTATTTAGTAACTTAAACGTAGCAATCTTAACTGCTTGTGGTTTTCCCAACAGGACCTCCAGGAGGTTTTCCAGGTGGACCTCTAACTAATTCTACTGGTGGTCACCCCGTTGGTCTTCTTGTAGGACATCCCGGTGGTCCCCCGGTTAGACATCCCGGCGGTCCTCCGGTCGGACATCCCGGCGGTCCTCCGGTCGGACATCCCGGCGGTCCTCTGGTCGGACATCCCAGCGGACCCCCGGTCGGACATCCCGGCGGTCCCCCAGCCGGACATCCCGGCGGTCCCCCAGCCGGACATCCCGGCGGTCCCCCAGCCG